TAGAAGGTTTTAGAAAAAAACCCTCTTCCCCATTCCTCCCAGTGTCTCAGGCAAGGGCATTCTTTTCCAGCTACAAACTGGTTTCTCCGGGCCTGGTACATTTCCATGTGCTGTCTCTTCCAGCTCTGTGTGTCTGGGATTTGCCAAGGTACCCAGTACCCACTGGCCAGGACAGGCCTTGTCACTTCTTTTTTGTTCAATTCTCAATCTCAGAGTTGCCAGATATCTTCTTTATAAAGGGAGACTTTATACACTGCAGAGCTGGGAAGAGGTCAGCCAGAGGGGAATTCCTGGAGAAGGGGGATTTTAAGCTGGGCCTGAGGCACGGAGAGGACAGGATTAAAGGAGGAAGGAGAGAACCCAGTGGAGTTGCAGACTGAAGCAGGAATAGGCTGCAGGTAGGTGATAGCAGAGACCCCAGAGGGCCAACGTAGGAAGGGAGGGAGGGGCGGGTCTGCACAATTGGTAGAGAGGTGTGGCTTTAGTGAGTGGCTGGCCTGCTAGACATGGAGAATCCTAATTCAGAGAGGCTTGGGATAACTAGACATAATGGCCTGATTTGGGGGCTTTGATTCTCAGCCCTCCTATCTAATGTAGTCTGTGCACTTGGATCCTTTTTCTTTCTGCCCATCCTGGGTATTGAACACTGGGCCTGGGTAAGCTCCTTTTGCTTGAGCTACAGCACCACTTCCGGCTTTTCCATAAGAGTCTCCAATTTTTGTTTCTTGCCCAAGTTGACTTGGAACTGGGATTCACAGATCTCAGCCTCCTCAGTCATTAGGATTATAGGTGTGAGCTACCAGTGTTCGTGTCTAGGATCTTTTCCCCCCCCATTTATTCTGCACTTAGTAATTCCCACCAGAACCAGGCATGGTTTGGCTTGGGAAAAGATCAGGATCAGAAGTGAGAGGAGTCCTGGCTTCTCTGATTTTGGAATGAAAGAGTAAACACACACACACACACACACACACACACACACACACACACACACACACACACACACGTGTGCATACATACAGAACTATGTAACTGCAAGCCAGTGAAGAGTGCTGTCTCCTAGGAAGGCAGATATGTTGTTCAGGCAAGGGAGAGCGACCAGGGCTGAGCTAGGAGTCAAAGGACAGGAGGCATCTGGACCTAGAGGCATGGGAGGACTGCTCAGGATGAAGTCATTGTGAGCAGAAAGAGTGAAGCGCAAGTATGGGGGCACAGATGAAGGGAAGGAAGTCAGCTCAGTGCATGACACAATGAGCCTTGTGGCCACTGTCACCTCCTCTCCTTCCACCTAATGCCAGAGCCACTGAGCTCTTAGATTCACAATTCCAAACATCCCCTCCCCCAAACTACTGAGCAGGTATGTGAAGAAAGCAGTGAAATATTGCTAGGCTGGAAAGGGGCAGCAAATCCACACAAGATCTTTGGATGCCAAGATAAGACATTGCCATATGTGTATGTTATATATATGATATAAATATATGTTAATTAACTAATTGCCAGTCCTGGATCTTGAACTCAGGGCACTGTCCCCGAGCTTCTTTCAAGGTTTTAAGCCATAGTGCCACTTCAGGCTTTTTCTGTTTATGTACTGAGGAATTGAACCCAGGGCTTCATGCATGCTAGGCAAACACTCTACCACTGAACCACATTTCCATACCATAAATAACAGTTTTACACACACATACAGTAATTTTTTTTTTTTATGGTCCTGAGGGATGAACTTAGGGCTTTCCACCTGGCAACCATTTGAGCCACATTCCAGGCTATTTATTTCTTTTTCTTTTTAATCTTCCTACCTCTGCCTCCTGATTACCTGGAATTACAGCCTGTACCACCATGCCCAGCAAGATAATGCAATACAGTAAACAATATTAACTACTAAAGGTTCTCTAGTAGGAGAGGATGAGATCTGCTCTAGAAAAATAAAATTTGAAACCAGGTGCTGGTGGCTCACACCTGTAATCCTAGTTACTCAGGAGGCTGAAATCTGAGGATTGTGGTTCAAAACCAGCCTGGGCAGAAAAGCCCATGTGACTATCTCTAATTAACCACCAGAAAACAAAGTGGAGCTGTGGGTCAAAGTAGTAGAGCACTATCGTGGAGCAAAAGAGCTCAGAGAAAACACCCAGGCCCTGAGTTCAATCCCCACAACACACACACACACACACACAAAAGAAAAAAAAAAAGAAAGAAAAATGAAGCAGCATTCACATGAGTGGGAGACTGAGGAAATGTGGGGGTATGGGGAGCGGGCGGTGTCAGTTGAGCCTCCTGTGAACTTCAGGGTTTATTTCTAATCAGGGTAGACTGTTTTGCCAATTACTGGTAGATGGCAAAGGTGAAGGGAGATCTTAACTGCACAGCCCTCTGTTAATTGCTGGAAAGTCCTATCAGAATGGTGTTTGCTAAGTCAGGATTTGAATAACTCATTTTCTTTCCCGATCTTTCACATCTCCACCTGGGGATGACCACAGCCCAACTCACCCCATCAGCATGTGTAAAACTCACCAAGTAAGGAAAATGATAAACCTTTCAGGGTTTTTCTCTCCTCTCTCTGTCCAGAGTCCATTGCTTTCTTAAGCATGGGACCCTTCTGAGCCTGAACAAGGAAACTATTCAGCCTGGCCCAGGGAGAGAGGGAGGAAGACACTTCCTGCTCTCTCCCTTCCCTGGCCAGGACAGGACGTGGCTTTGGATCCAAGACCCAGAGAATCAGAGCTGATAAAGGCCCATTGTGGCAGCCTCTGAGAAACCCAGGGGCCATCAGGGGGCTCAGAGGCTAAGTCAGTTAACAGCTCTTGAACATTTGTGAAAAGAATTACTTGGCGGAAGTCAGGGCAGGATGAGACTCTAGGGTAGATACTGAGATGTGCCTTTGCCATCCATGACAGACCTTGCCCACTGCCCCAAGGGCTGACCTGAAGCAGAAGGAACCCAGACTCTTGTTTTGTTTAAGGCTCAGAGCTCCCTGACACCTGGAGTATGAAATCCAATCTCCTGCCAAATGTAGGAAACAAGAGGGCTCTCTAAAAAGGGCCTAGGGGAGGGAGTGGAGCCTCCTGCCATCCCTCCCCCCTGAAGGGTGTCCAGAGCAATCAGCAATAAACAGCAGGAAAGGAGGAAGGCTTCAGTGGAAGGCCGTCTGGAACTTATTTAGGCATTATGCTCTTCTGCTGCAGTCCTTCACATGCTTTGAGTCCAGGCACCTCATCACTTGCAGGCCTCCCATTCTTAACAGCAAACACAGCAGGAAGAGACAGAAGCCTGAGATGGATGTGGCCAGGAGGAGACGAGATGGGGGGCTTGGGTGGCAGCTCAGAGGTTCAGCGGAAGGTCAGGAGCCCATCACACAGTGGCCCTGTTCCCAAAGATAGAAAGGGCCAGACCCTTGAGAGGCCCTGCATGGGGTTTATGGTGTCGGGAGACCTCAGTCCTTACTTGTACACCCAATCTGTGCATCAGGTCCTCTTCTTTTCCAGCTGGCCGTGGTTTCTGGGCCTCTGGGAGAGGAACTGCAGAATTCAGGTTAGAACAGAGATTGGTCGGGCAAGATATGTGCTGGCTCACTGAATATTTCTGTGCTGTTCCTCAACACGTAGAGGTAGGTGATGGACGGTTCATTTCTCAGTCCTGGTCTCTATTATCACCATCCAAAATACATAATTTGGATACCTGTCAAATGCCAAGGCACTTTTTTTTTTTTCCATCAGCAGTGGGGGCTTGAATTTTGGGCCTGGGTGCTGACCTTGAGCTTTTTAGCTCAAGGAGAGTACTCTACCACTTGAGCTACCGTGCCACTCCTGGTTTCTTGGTGGTTAATTGGAGATAAATGTCTCCTGGACTTTCCTGCTCCATGCTGGATTTGAACAGCAATCCTCAGATCTCAGCCTCCTGAGTAGCTAGGATTACAGGTGTGAGCCACTAGTGCCCAGCTCCATGAAACTCTTATCTCCAATCAACCACCAAAATCCAGAAGTGGAAGTGTGGCTCAAGGGGCAGAATGTCAGCCTTAAGGGTTAAGCATTAGAGGGCAGCACATAACCCCAAGTTCAAGCCCCAGTACCAGCACACCTACAAAGTTTACTTCACACTAGAGTGGGATCCTGAACACAGTACAAAGCACCTTCTGAAACCTGTTTTCTGCCTTGCTGGATATTTGTTCCCAGCTAACACACACAGACACACACACACACAGACACACACACTGCTAGAATGCTCTGTTCTGCTCCCACAGTTCCCACAAACAAAAACCAACCCCTAAGACAGCTGGAAGGTCTGGGTGTCATTTATTGACAGCGGTTTACACACATTTGTTTGCTTCCCAAGACTGTTTCCTTCTCAGCGCCACACACAGCACACAGCCCCGGGGAAGGGCAGACTTGGAGCGGGAATGCAGGACGCACACGTCTTTGGCAGGCAGGCTCAGTTCAGCCCCAACAGGATGCAATCCTTCAATCTGGAATTCCACTGGGTATCTGAGAGGGACCAAGGTGGGGGGTGGAGAGGAAGTCTTCAACAGGACTCACATCTCAGTCCAGGCCTCTCCTACTATCCAAGTCCATCTCAGTTTTAGGACCCTGGGGGGCAGCAAAATCAGGCCCACCCACCTCAATAGGGGCAGATCCCTCACTCCATGCCCTGGCTTATGCACACCTGCTTCCGCTGGTCGAACACTTAGAAGGAATCAGCCTCATGGTAAAAGACAAACTACTTCCTCTCTGACCCTCCCCGGCACCTCCTCAGCTGCATCTGTACAGGAACGGTTGGAAAAACTGAGGGCTGATCCTTGGTTTTGCTGCACGTGGCATGGTCCTCAAGTCTTCAGTAAATGACAGGATGAAGGCTATACAGGTCTATTTGGGCTGCTGGCTGGGCTCCTGTCCGTCCGTCACACACACACTGCCCTGCCTTCTGCCAACTGCCAGCGCCAGCAGGCTCCAAAGGAACCAGAGCCAGTCTGTATAGGCACTTGGCAATTTTTGGTAGAGAGATGGATTAAAAAAAAAAAGGTAGATGGACAGGAGAATGAAAGAGCTTCAGTTGATAATTAAAGATCGGAAGTGATTTATTTCCTTCATTTTAAGCCAATCATGAAATTTCACAGTGATTTCTGGGGTGCTGCTCAGAATCCTAAGGGCTGGGGTCCAGTTGACCAAGGAAGTACAGGCAGGGCAGGCCTCACTGGGGCAGCTGGAGAAGCACAGACTGCCCTGAAGGCAGGTAAGTGATGTTGCGTGAGCGCGAGAGCTGGTATGCAATGTCCTCCGCGGCTTCCAGCTTACGCAGCTCAATCAGGCCATCACCTGCCGTGGCCAGGGAGTTGGCAATCAGCTCGGCCGCCTTGGAGTCGCCCTCAGCAGAGATGATGGCCGCCTTCTTCTGCTGCTCAGCCTAAAGAAGTGGAAGAGACCAAGACCAAGAGCATACCTCAGGGCACTGGATGTCAGGTTATGGCCTACAGGACCAGGACAGATACAGTAGCTGGGTCCTTAAGACACCTTGGGAACTTCTTTCCCTTGTGGCTAAGTCAACTAGCACACTGTTCTAGTCCCCCTCTTTTTTGACACTGTTGGGATAGACCTCTGTTGGCTATGTTTTTTTTTTTTTTTTGAGGGGGGGTCTGGTTATGGGGCTTGAACTCTGGGCCTGGGCGCTGTCCCTCAGCTCTTCAGCTCAAGGCTAGCGCTCTACCACTTAAGCCACAGCGCCACTCTGGCTTTTTCCTTTTTGCTTATATGATGCTGAGGAATTGAACCCAGGGCCTCAGGCATACAAGGCAAGCGCTCTACCAGAGCCACCTTCCCATCCTTCTGTTGGGCTATGTATCTATCTTATTTCAAAGTCTTCAAAACCAATAGCAGTTCCATCCAGTCAACAATATTGAGCCAGGAGACTCTAAGGCCATGGAAAAGGAAGAAAAGGAAAGATAGTTCATCTATCTTTCCCTCCAGTTCCAAGTCAAAATGAGCAGAGCTGTGCTGAGGGTGCAGCTCAGTAGTAAACCACTTGCCTAGCAAGTGGATTTGATGTCCAGCACCATGTGCGCACACATACACACACACCATTTAATAGAAACACACACCATTTAATAGAGCTAAGGAAAGAGCAGTCTATATGTATGAGTCTCTCCCAAGACTGGACTGTGAACTAGGCTGACTCTGACCAGGAACCAAATGAGATTACCTTGGCCTCCCATATTAATACCAACAGGATGAAATCTATTTGGGACATACAACCTTTAGAATGTGGGAGAATACAGTACTGCACCTCTCTGAAATCAAGTGTTCTTTTTCTCATGTTACTGGGGCTGGAATACAGATAAAATACACCCACAACCCAACACACATTTTGAAATTGTTAAGGTGTTGGTTCAACAAATGTGGACTGTACATCTAGTACCACCAGGCAGTGCTAGACTTGGTACAAGCTCTAGAGACATGGTAGGCACAGATCAAAACAAGTCCCTGCCCACATGGAGCTTACATTTTCCCAAATCAAATATAGCCCTCTTCTCTCTCTAAGGATTAAAAGGTCATGAATTAAGAATATTTGTGGGGGTGCTGGGAAGGTGGCTCAGTGGTAGAGCGCTTGCCTTGCATGCACGAGGCCCTGGGTTTGATTCCTCAGCACCACATAAGCAAAAAGAAAAAAGCCGGAAGTGGCACTGTGGCTCAAGTGGTAGAGCACTAGCCTTAAGCTGAAGAGCTGAGGGACAGAGCCCAGGCCCAGAGTTCAGGCCCCACGATTGGACCCCGCCCCCCCAAAAAAAATTGTGAGCTGAGCGCTGGTGGTTCACACCTGTAATCCTACTCGGGAGGCTGAGAACTGAGGATCAAGGTTCAAAGCCAGCCCAGGCAGAAAAGTCTGTGAGACCTTTATCTCCAATAAACCACTCAGAAAACCAGAAGTGGCATTGTGGCTCACATGGTAGAGCACTGGCCTTGAACTGAAGAACTAAGGGACAGTGCCCAGGCCCAGAGTTCAAGCCCCACAACTGACATTAAAAAGAAGAAGAAGAGGAAGAGGAGGAGGAAGAGGAAGAGGAGGGGGGGGGGAGGAGAAGATGAAGATGAAGAAAGAAAGAAAGAAAGAAAGAAAGAAAGAAAGAAAGAAAGAAAGAAAGAAAGAAAGAAAAGGAAGGAAGGAAGGAAGGAAGGAAGGAAGGAAGGAAGGAGGAGGAGGAGGAGAAGGAGGAGAAGAAGATAAAGACGAAGAAAGAAGAAAGAAAGAAGGAGGAGGAGGAGGAGGAGAAGGAGGAGGAGAAGGAGAAGAAGAAGAAGGAGAAGGAGAAGGAAGAGGAGGAGGAGGAGGAGAAGATTTTGGCAGCTGGATACCAATGGCTCATGCCTGTTATCCTAGCTACTCAGGAGGCTGAGATCTGAGGACCTTGGTTCAAAGCCAGCCTGGGCAGGAATATCCTTGAGATGCTTATCTAATAAACTACTCAGGAAAAGCTGGAAGTGGCTCTATGACTTAAGTGGTAGAACACCAGCCTAGAACAAAAGAAACTCAGGGATAGTGCTCAGGCCCAGAGGTCAAGTCTCAGGACTGGGAAAAAAAAAAAAATTGTGACCAGGCGCTGGTGGCTCATGCCTGTAACCCCAGCTATTCAGGAGGCTGAGATCTGAGGATTGTGGTTTGATGCCAGCCAAGCAGGAAAGTCAGGACTCTTATCTCCAATTAATCATCAAAAAGCTGAAAGTGAAGCTGTGGTTCAATTGGTAGAGCACTAGCTTTGAGCAAAAAAAACCTAGGGACAGTGCACAAGCCCTAAGTTCAAGCCTCAGGAATGGTGCGCACATGCCTGCGTGCACGCACACGCACGCACATGCACGCGCGCGCACACACATGCACGTGTGCACACACACACGTGTGCACACACACACACACACACAGAGAAAAATGATGGGAACAAAGGGACAGCAAATAAATAACCTTTACAAACATCAGGAAGACCAGGCTGTAATGCAAATGCATTGTGTTCCATCACTGACACATCTGGATGGATTTAGCAATAGAAAAAAAAAAAACACACAAAAAACCCCAGTGACGATAGCTCATCTAGTATAACGTTTGATCTTTTTTGCTGTCAGCTTTCACTATATAACTATGGTTAAAAATGACTTCTCAGCAGAGCTGAAAATACTCTAGGAGTAACATTTTTACTTGTACGACAGAGTTTTTGATCTTGGGCAAGTGGGGGAAAAAAATGACCCTTCAGTGATTTAGGAACATAAGTTCACATATCCCTGACTGGCCCCCAAAGACTCTGGAACCAATTGCAGGACTAAGGTTCTTTCAATCTCCTTCCGATTATCCCGGAAGAAGAGATGACAGATGATGAATTTCCAGGCCACCCAGCAGATGGGGAAGCCCCGCACAGGAGAAAGGGAAAGAACTCCTACCATCTGGTTGAATGCTCACCTTTTCCACCACAAATCTGGCCCTCTCTGCTTCCTGCTGAGCCACCTGTTTGGCTTCCACTGCTTCTGTGAACTCCTTCCCAAAGGTCAGATGTGTCTAGGGAGAGTGAGTGAGCATAAGCTGAGGCAGTATAATTGCTTAGACAGCATCACTGAGAGGCCTCCCTGGCTGCTGGAAGAGGCCAGGAATGGCTCTAGCAGCTGGAGGCATGGCGAGACACTCTCCCTCCTCGACTCCTAATCCACATTAAATTTACACCTTGGGATCCTTGGGTACCCACATTGCACCTACATACCATTCTATGTGTGGCCACACCACACAGAACCCACCCCTGGCTCCAGACTCTTGACAGGCCTACGGGTACCAGAAGGTTATTTACTCAATTGACACTCCTGTAGAGAAGACCTGGGTTCTAAGACCCTTTACTACTAACTAGGCTAGTGCCCTTTCAAGTTCTTTGATGCCCTCCTCAAAGACCCAAAGGAGACCAGATGGAAAGTTGAGCCCCTGAGAGAGGAGTTTGCCGCCAGTTCCCAGGGATCCAAGAACCTGATGTTTTCTGCTTATGGATTAACCAGGCCCTTCTCTCTCACAGCTCCTCCACCACGAAACAGGAAGAGAGAGAAAGTGGAGTACAAATCATGGCCTTCCCAACTTGTGAATGGTTCTGGTAAAGGGTTTAAAAGAAAACTGGAGGCAGGTAAAGCCATTGGTCAGGGTGAGGGTTTAAGTCTGATTATCCCTAGACCTTCCCTAATCACATAAATAAGGAGACCTGGCTGAAGTGGCTGTCTCTAAAGATAAGCACCATGGGAACTAGACTTCAGATTCTTAACTGCCTAGCCTAGAGCAGTTTACTTCCCCATCCAATTTTCAACTGAAAAGGAAACAAAGGAAGACCACTGGTTTTGCTATCAAATGGTATTTGTTTCATTTCCTTCTCTACCCTCCCAATTGCAGCTTTTAAAAAAATATAAGCAGAGTTCAACCTTCTGAGGAGTAAATCCTGGCCCCCTGATCTTCCAGAGTTTTTAATATTACCCTCCTAACTCTTAAACTGCAGCTGCTCTACTCTGATATATTTCTGGACTCTTGCTCCAAGTTTGGGTAAGAAAACACGATCTTGAGAAATGAAAAATGAACTATATAATTGAGGAATAAAATTCATTTCTAAAAGGGCCAGCTGAGGGCAGCAAATTCCCCAGGAAATCTAATTTTCTCCTCACGCCTCTTAGATATGGTTTCTTGCGGTCAGCCCACAGTTCTCCAGAATGGAGTGTGTGGTCAGAGTCTAGTAGAAATGCCAAGTTTTTTCCTCAGGTTTTTACTTAGTGTGTTCTCACAGCCAAGGTGCTTGGGTTAATAGTAAGTGGGGAGGGCCTGAGGCAGGGTTCTTCAAAGCAGCAAAGAGCTGCAGCTTGATGTGCTGCCAACAGAGGGAGCCCCACATCCTTGTCCTTAGAACAACGGAGGCAAGGTGGAGCAGAGCCCTCAGGGTTAGTAGGGGGTGTTCAAAAACACTGTTTAAACAGCTGCACAGATGCGGAGGGGAAACCCACCTTTCCTTAGCGATGCACAGGAGAACTGAACAGGAAACACACTACCTCACTACCCGAACAAATCCCTCCAAGTGATTTTTCCCAGAGAATCTAGAAACACGACCCCTTTCCCCTCACCTCCTCAACCTGAAATGCTATCCTGCCTGTATTGCTTTCTGTCTGAGTTAGGACATTCAATGTCACATAAATACACAGACTATAATGTCTCAAGAGGCTAGCTTACACCTCAGCAATGTCCTCTGTCCCCCTCCCCACCAGGCCAGGCCTTGGGGAACAGAACTACTCATTTGCACTCTATCACCTTTCACTGGGAACTCCCAGAACTCACTTTACTTCAGACCCTGTGCTGGGAAATCCCAGGGGTCAGGAAGGGAGATCTGTGCTAGAGAGAAAGGCTACCAAGCTGCTCTCTGGTCTCTACCAGGCAGTTTCTCTTGGTGCCAAACATGATTAATAAGGTATTGCTTTCTAGGGAGTTCTGGGGAATATCAGACCATTTGGTGGTTACAGACCATTTGGGGAAGGTTATAAAAATGTGTATGGAAGATGGCAGAAAACAGACCCTAATGTCATCCAGAAATTTCCATTTCTCAGGTAGGAAAGTGGGAGGCAGGAACCAACCATGTTTGCCCAGAAATAAGTCAGGTAGCTAATCACCAAATGCAGCCCCTTCCCTTTGGCCTGCCCTAGAACGTACCAGGGACACGTCATCCAGGATGAGCCCAAAGGTTGCTGCTCGCTCTGTGAGGTCATCGCTCACCTGCCTGGAGACCAGCTCTCTTTGGGTGATCAGTTCTCCAGCATCAAAGCGAGCCTGGTTTCAAAGGGATGGATGGAAAGCCAGTCAGGTTAGTAAAGGAGCAGAAAAAGTACCATGAAACCAGCTAAACCCTAGCTCCTTCCCTTGCCATCAAGACTGACACCCCCCGCCCTCCCTGCAGAGCTTCTACGGCCACCTAGCCATTTCTGGGTGCTCTGGGTAGGAGGCTGACGGTCCCATCAACTCACCACCACAGACTTGAGGATCTCTGTAGTGATGGATGGCAGCACACGCTCATCATAGTCCTCTCCGATGCTAGTGTAGATACGAGGAAGCTGGCTCGCAACTGGCCGGAAGAGGATTCGTAGTGTGATATTGACGTTCTGCAAATCTTAGGGTAGAAGACAGACACTGGAGTTACTGCTTAATGGTTTCAGTGATGACACCAGCTTCTCGGTACATCCTGGATGCTCTCTGACAGGAACAATTCAGGTGACACGCTGCCAGCCATGCAATGTTTGGAATACTAGACATGCTAAGGCCTTTTCAAGGCCTAGTGAATGTGCCCAAGTCAGAAACAGCTTTAGTAGGTTAGAGTGGGTTGGTGGAAACAGCACTGACTAGCCAGCAGTCCTCAGGGCTGGACCCATCTCACCCTGCTGGTTACTATGGTCTGATGGAATCGTAAACAACCAGAATTTCCTTTGCTTTGAGAATGGAGATGATGCAGGGATGGTGGGGGAAGCGCACCCTGTAATGTATGTAACTGACATATGGGTTCCCACATACTCACTCTCAGATCATTTCTTGAAGGCAGAAAGAAAGCCTGGTACTCCTAGGGCACGAATGGTTCTGGCAAAGGGTTTAAAGCAAAGACAGGCAAGCCATGGGCAGAGTGGGGGGGGGGGGTGTTAACAGGCAGATTATCCAGACCTTCCCACAGGCTGCAGGGAGATAGCTTTCACTTACAGCCCCACAGAGCTAAAGGCCCAATCACTGAACGGACATTTAAGGTAGTCTCGGAACACTTGCAAGCCAGTACAGAAAGAAATCCCATGGGCTGGAGTTGTGGGTCAGGTGGTAACTCAGCCAATGAGTCAAAGCCAGTGTCAGTGAGTTTGAGTCCTGGTCTCAGACCAAACAACAACAACAACAAAAACCACCTCCCTAAGAGGTGGCAAGTCTAAAAGTAGGCTTTTATGTTATGTATTTCATGCCCGCCTTACTCTTTTAAAGAAGGCTACTGCAATTTCTTGGCCAGGATCTAGACAGATTTTTCCATTTCCCTATGACCCCTTCTCTGCCTCCACCTCACCCTATCAGACAACAGGACCCTACTCACAACTTAGTTCCTACGGGTGCCTTTGCAGACCTGGGGGCGTTGGCGACTCTCCTCTGTACTCCCCTATACCTCATAGGGCCTTGGCTCTGGCCCTTCCCAGACTCTATAGTTCACTTCCAAGACTCAGCTTCTCAAAGGTGCTCATTTGGCTGGGCCCTGGTGGCTCACCTGTAATCCCAGCTATTCAGGAGGCAGAGATCTGAGGATCTTGTTTTAAAGCCAGCCAGGAGAAAAAAGTCAATGAGACTCTTATCTCCAATAAACTAATCAGAAAAGGCTAGAAGTGGTGCTAGCCTTGAGGACAAAGAGCTCAGGGACAATGTCCAGGCCCTGAGCTCAAGCTCAGGACTGGCAAGAAAAAGGTGCTTGTCGTCTCTTTACTCCTCTACCCTATACACCAGCACCAACCCTAGCACTGTCAGAGGAAGTTAACATCTGCTGAGAAATGACATGGAGGGCATCGAGTGTTATAGAGCCCATCTGTGAGTGACTGGGGAGAAGAGTGATGGGCATTCATTCCAGGCTGACTGGGAACCCAGTGGGACATGTCAGACACCAGGCTATGGGACAGCGATCTGAGTGCTGCACTGCTGGAGCAGAGGCCGTGGAAAGCAAGGCAAAGGGCAATTCCACTACAAGGGCCGGGGACTATGGTTTAGATAGTCACTCTGGGGAATAAGAGCGGATGGGAAAGGGGGAACTGAAGGGAAAAAAAGGCATATTTACGAATTCTTTAAAATTACATCACCATGCCTCTCTTACATCTTTATACATGCCTCTAAATTTGTTCTGTGTGTATACCTTAATGACACATTTCTGCCTCTGAACCCATATAAAACTCTCCTGGGCAAACGCACTATGAATTAGTATGATGTAAAGTTCAATCTCTTTTGGACCTTGGTGTCCTACAGATGCTTCTAGCACAGCACCCTTCCACACTTCCTTCACCGCAGGCAACACTTACCTTTGCTCCCAGTGATGACCGGCACATTACGTGGCCGAGAGCGGCAGTCAAAGATAATTGGTTTCTGTACCCAAGGGATCAGAAAGTGAGTCCCTTCCCCTACCACAATGTCCTGAACACCACGGAATCGGTCAAAGATGACAGCTCTGTGCCCAGCATCCACTAGGGAGGAAGGATAATGACAGGTCAGAAAAACTCCTTTACCCTTTAGCCAAAAGGATCTGCCTTTCAAAGGTCTCTGCTGCTTTCTATTCATTTATGAAGTTGCCCCTCTCCTACTCTGGCCGACCAAATTCCTGGGCTGTAGAAGCTTCTAAAAATCTATAAAACTAAATAATGACTTCCTGTCCCATATGACTCTCCAAGGACTTTGGTAAGGGGATCTGTTCCTTAACGCGCTTTCTCCTTTTTCTCTTGGTGGTACTGCGGGGACGGGGAGTTGAACTTAGGATTTATGACACTCTACCACTTAAGGCACACCCCAAGCTTTAGTGTTTTTGTTTTTTTTTGACAGTCCTGGGGCTTGAACTTGGCCTAGGCACTGTCCCTGAGCTTCTTTTGCTCAAGGCTAGCACTCTACCACTTGAGCTACAGCGCCACTTCCTGCCTTTTCTGTTTATGTGGTACTGAGGAATCAAACCCAGGGCACTCCACCACTAAGTCATATTCCCAGCCCACTTTAGTTATTTTTCAGATAAGGTCTTCCATTTACACCTAAGCTGGCCTGGACCATGATCCTTCTATGTATGCTTCTCAAGAAGTGGGAATGTGCTGGGCGCTGGTGGCTCACGCCTGTAATCCTAGCTACTCAGGAGGCTGAGATCTGAGGATCGCGGTTCAAAGCCAGCCCGGGCAGGAGAGACCGTGAGACTCCTATCTCCAATAAACCACCAGAAAACCGGAAGTGGCGCTGTAGCTCAAGTGGTAGAGTGCTTGCCTTGAGCTGAAGAGCTGAGGGACAGCACCCAGGCCCAGAGTTCAAGCCCCATGACCGACAAAACAAACAAACAAAAAAGAAGTGGGAATGAAAGGTGTAAACCATGCCCAGCTTTTATTGGTTGACTGGGTTCTCACTTTTTTGTCTGGGCTGGTGTCTAACTCCCAAACTCTACCTCCTAAGTAGCTGAAATTTATAGGTATGAGACCACTGCCTGTCTGGCCCACTCATTTTCTCATCTTCCTATATTTCCCTCTTTCTCTCTTCTTTTCTTTGTGTGATGATAGGGATTGAACCAAGGGACTTACGCATGCTAGTAGGCAAGAATTCTACCAACTACATCTCCAAGTCTTGTTGATTTTCTAATTAACCATCCCACTCACAAAATCCCACTAACACAATTCCAAGTGACATAAAGATCTCCAGTTATGGGGCTGGGAAGGTGGCTCAGTGGTAGAGCACTTGCCTTGCATGCATGAGGCCCTGGGTTCGATTCCTCAGCACCACATAAGCAAAAAGAAAAAAGCCGGAAGTGGCACTGTGGCTCAAGTGGTAGAGTACTGGCCTTGAGCTGAAGAGCTGAGGGACAGCACCCAGGCCCAGAGTTCAGGCCCCATGACCGGACCCAAAAATAAATAAATAATAAAGATCTCCAATTATTACATATCTAATGTAGCTCCGATTTAACTAACACTCCTAGAGTCTCTATGGGAATCCTGAAATGTAAAGGGTTCCTTCTTGTTCCTCTTACTAATGTACCCCAGACTGGCCTCAAACTGCTACCCTTCTGCCTGTACCTACAAAAAGAGTGCCAGGATTACAAGCGGGTGCCATTCACATCCAATAGTTGTTTCTTCAAAGTTTTGGGGCATACTGAGCTGTCTTGTTGGTTGAGGGAGAAATTCAGAGATGGTGACTACTGTCTAGATCTCATCAAAAGGATCACAGTATCTACATGTCTATAATCCTGGCTAGTCAGGGGACTGAGATCAGGAGGACTGAAGATCAAGCCCAGCTAAGGAAGAAGTTCACTAGCCTCCATTTCCAGCAAAAGCAAGGCTGGAGGTATGGCTCAAGTGGTAGAGTACCAACAGTAAGTTCTAGGTTCTGACTTTAAATCCCAGGACCACCAAAAAAAGCATCCCATATAAACCAAGCAAGCCTTTCTAATTACATTGTTTTTGTCTTTTCCCCTCTGGAGTTTAGGACTCGGTCTAAATATCTTCTGAAAAATAATCCTCTTGTCCAAAAGCTATACATTAGGTTGGTCAATGGTAAAAAGTTATAGAATGTCAGAGTTGGTGTCTTAGTGATAAACTAGTCCAACTCCATTGTTGTAGAAGAAGCTGAGGTTTAAAAAGGCAGAAGCAACTTATCCTAATTCCATGTAGTAAAGAGAAGAAAAGCCAACTTAAAACTACTGCCAAACCATTAAGTTGACAAAAACAGCTGGAGTTATCCAGCCAGCATCTGGGCTGGAAGGCCATTTTGAACAATGGCTCCAAGAAAATGGGCAATTTGCAAGACAGGGACTCTGATAGTAGTACAACTAACTATATTGTGTGGGGTAGCACTAGGTAAGCCCTCTTGGCTACAAACACATTCATGGACAACAGCTACCATTAACAGTCTCCAATGAAGTCACCTTATGTCCCCAGTGCCTCACCATTATATAAGGCAGAGTTCACCACGCCTCCTGCGACAGCTAGGGCCAGGCCAAACTTGCCAATGGACTCAAATATTTTGGCAGCCATGTTTCCTTCTGTTGGACCCACTCACACCTACGGGGTAAAAAATAAAACAACATAAAACAACTTGATCCCAAATCCTCACAGAAAGTCAGTTCTGAGCCCCAACATCACTTCTCAAGCTTATTCTTCACTCTCAAGAGCTCTAAATCGCCCACAGAGGGACACCTAACAAATCTGTGTGTCTTGCAAACAGTAACGCCATTTCCCTCCATTTTTTGCTTGTGCAATTGCTTTGTGTGTAGGCAGACACTGGGGCTTGAATTCAGGGTCTAGTCACTGTCCCTTAGCTTTCTGCTCAAGGATGGCAGTCTGCCACTTGAACCACACCTTAACTTCCAGCTTTTTGATGGCTAACTGGAGATAAAGAATCTCATGTGCTTTCCTGCCTGGGCTGACTTCAAACAACCATTGTTAGCCTCAGTAGCTCGATTACAAAGCATGAGCCACTAGTACCCAGATTGCTCTTTTTTTGTTTGTTTGTTTGTTTGCCAGTCCTGGGGCTTGAACTCAGGGCCTGGCACTGTTTATAAGCTTCTTTTGCTCAAGGCTAGCACACTACCATTTGAGCCACAGTGCCACTTCTGGCTTTTTCTGTGTATGTGTTAGTGAGGAATCAAATCCAGGGCTTCATGCATTCTAGACAAGCCCTCTACCACTGAGCCACATTCCCAGCCAGCCCCCACTCTTTTCTCTTTTTTTTTTTCTTCCAGTCGTGGGGCCTGAACTCTGGGCCTGGGCGCTGTCCCTCAGCTCTTCAGCTTAAGGCTAGTGCTCTACCACTTGAGCCACAGTGCCACTTCCGGCTTTTTCTGCATACGTGGTGCTGAGGAATTGAACCCAGGGCCTCATGCATGCAAGGCAAGCACTCTACCACTGAGCCACCTTCCCAGTCCCTCTTTTTAATCTCTCGAAGGAGTCTGAGATACTTGGCTCAATAAGGGTAAGGAGGCCTATAGAGAACTGAGTACCATCTGAAACTTCTATTTCGTGTGCCATTCTGGCTTGGAAAAAATGGTGATGATGATGAGAAAAGAATATCAGTAACAGCAAACATTCCCACCAGGCAGTCTTCTAAAGACAGTTTATGTAATCATCACAACCACAAACAAAAACAGGGAGGGCCAAAGACGTGTTACATGAGGAGGTCAAGACACGCAACTATTAAGTGGCAGGTCGGGATGAGGACATCTAAAGTCTACCTCCAGAAGGCGAGGCTGAGTTCACCACGCCGTGTTTAAGAATGGGAGTGGAGGGAAGCAACTATTAAACCACTCTAGCCTGAACTTTGCAATGCCCCGCCCCTACGTCGTCTGTTCGGCCCCCAATCCTCCTCCCTCCGGCCCAGACCCCAAAGTTCCAGATTCCGCAGGTTACTCCCCGCTGATTCACCTTCCTTCCTGGCCCTTTCCATTTCTATGGCTTCTGGATTTTTCCTCACCCTGCCCCCATACACACCTCGCCAACCCTTTCGCAACTTCTGCCACATTCTCCCATCAGCCCCTTTTCTATCCCGCATAAAGTCACCCACGCATGCACCCTACTCGCCCAAAGTGTGTGTGAAGGGGACAAAAGCGGGACCGCGGCATTACGGTACCCGCACAGGTCTCACCTGCTTCCACTCTGACCTCCACATGAATTTTCCCAGTCGTGCCCACTGCGCGTGCGGCAGGCAGCTCCTTTCTTTCTCCGCCCTCCCTCCAAGATCTGCGTCTCCGATTGGTGGGGCCGGCCGCAGTGACTTCTGGGAAACGTGGTTTGTAGCCTTCTGCCGGCCCTGAGACTTTCGGTAGATGAACTACAACTCCCAAAATGCCATGCAGCTGCTAAGCCCGCGCAGGAAACCTTTTTCTCTTTGGTGGTAGACAGTGGAATGTTGCCGCTGAGCCTTTTGGGGGTTGTAGTTCCTGGGGGAATAAATGCACGTGCCTGTCGTGACCCTGAGCTAGGGGTTGCCGGAGGGGCCACTCTAGGGCTCTGGGAAGGAGGGCGTGAGCCCAGAAATGATTACAGTAAATTTATAGTTGGTGAAAGACTACGAATGGGCACTTTGGACAAAGTTGTGATGACATACATAACTGTTTACTTAGAGACCTTACAGAAGCTAGGGATCGTCTCCTTTTTGAAGCTCTGATAGTCCTGTGCTCAGGGTGGTGAGACTTTGATTACCACAGAGGAACTTAGAAAACCATCTGCAAGAAGAGATTCATTCAACGTCGTACACCACCAAGTCGGCAGAGCCCTGGTTTCTGGGACACAATCTGTGTGTGCACGCGTGCACATGCTCGCGGGTCCTGGAGCTTGAACTCAGGGAGCACGTGCTGCTTGGAACCTCCATCCTTTTATCGCAGCCCCCCAAACAGCTAGAATTACAGGTGTGAGCCACCGGCACCCAGCACTTTTGTCCCCCTAAACATTTGTCTATGGAAAAGTTGTAAGAATAGTACAAAGAACACATGTGTATCCTTTCTCCAAGTCACTTGATAGCAATTTGCCCCTTTTGCTTTTTTTTTTTTGTCGTTGATCTCTCTCCTCCCCTCTTCTCCTTCCTGTCCTTTCCCTGCTCTTCCCTTTCCCTCCTTCCCTCCCTCCTTCCCTCTCCTTCTTCCTCTCCCTCTTCCTCTCTTTCCCCCTCTACCCCTCCCCCATCCACACGTCTCCCCTTCACCATTCTGTGGAGAGGAGTCTGTATTTTCTATAAAAAAAGGATATCATCTTGCTTGAGTAAATGTAATCTACCTTCTGCATTCCAATTTTGTCAGTTGAACCAGTAATGAATTTTATAGCACTCCTTTCCAATATAGTACACGGTCTAAAACGAAGTGTTGTATTTATTTTTCATTTCTTTTCAGCCTCCTTTAATTCAAAATATCCTCAACCTTCCTTCGACATTACATTAAAAAAAAAACAAAACACCAGAATACTTATCATTTTGGATTTATCTGCAGTTTCCTCATGATTAGATTCAGGGTTTTTTGTTTGTTTTTTTAAGCTAGGATACTACATAAAAGATGTATTGTGGGCGTTGGTGGCTCACTCCTGTAATCCTAGCTACTCAGGAGCCTGAGATTGGAGGATAACAGTTCAAAGCCAGGTCAGGCCTGGGGCCTGGGTGCTATCCCTGAGCTCTTCAGCTCAAGGCTAGTGTTGTACAACTTGAGCCACAGCACTACTTCCAGTTTTCTGAGTGATTTATATAAGAGTCTCATGGACTTTCCTGCACAGGCTGCTTTGAACTGCGATTCTCAGATCTCAGCCTCCTGAGTAGCTAGGATTACAGGCGTGAGCCACTGGCACTTGGCTTCTTGAGACTATCTCTAATAAACTACTCAGAAAAAGGTGGAAGTGCTTCTGTGGTTCAAGTGGTAGAGGGCTAGCCTTGAACACAAAGAGGCTCAGGGACAGCACTCAGGCCCCAAATAGCTAGAATTAGGTCCTGGGGCTTGAACATAGGGACCACGTGCTGCTTCGAACCTCAATCCTTTGATCTCAGCCTCACAAATAGCTAGAATTACAGGTGTGAGCCACCGGCACCCAGCACTTTTTTTTTTGGTCCCAGGACTGGCCAAAAAGAAAATGTATATTCGTTTCATTTTAACAAAACTACACTTAGATATGGTTCAACTAGGATGGGATTCTAATTTCCCTACATTTGTAGTCTCTCCACCCACCTTCTTTGTCCCCCTTCAACACAGTCAAATGGCCATAAATACTCATGGTGACACTCTGCAGGTGGTAAGATTTTCCCTTTTTCCTAACCAAGCACTCCTTTTTCCTTTGACCTCTGGAGTTTATGAGAGTTGCAAGTTTAGGTTGATATTTTCATTGTTTAAGAGAAGGTGTTCAAGCATCTTTAAGAATAGTCTTAGTATTGTCAAGAATATTGAAAATAAATCTGGATGTGAGACTGTACATGGGAGGCTGAAGCAGGAAGAGTCCAAGTATTTACTTATTTATTTATTTTTGCCAGTCCTGGGGCTGGAACTCAGGGCCTGGGTGCTGATTCTGTGCTTCTTTTGCTCAAGGATAAGCACCCTACCACTTGAACCATATGCCACTTCCAGTTTTTTTCTGCTTATGTGGAATTGAACCCAAGGTCTTATGCATGCTAGGCAAGCACTCTACCACTAAGCTACATTCCAGCCCCTAGTATTTTATTTTATTTATTTTTTGTTGGTCATGGGGCTTGAACTCAGGGCCTGGACATTGTCTGTCCCTGTGCTCTTTTGTTCAAGGCTAGTACTCTGCCACTTTGAGCCACAGTGCCACTTCTGGTTTTCTAGTGGTTAATAGAAGATAAGAGTTTCATGGTCTTTCTTGCTTGGGCTAGCTTTGAACCATGATCTTTTGAACTTAGCCTCCTGAGTAGCTAGGTTTACAGGCATGAGCCACCAGTGCCCAGCTTGCATAGTGTTTTATAATGTTCAATTCTGTGTATCTGTAGCATTCCATTTGAGCATCATAAAAATCCACTATTTTATGGATAAGGATATTGAAGTTCAGAAGTTACATGATTCGTTCAGGGTCACTCACTACATCAGAACCAGACTGGACCAGAATATGGATCTTCCATGTTTAAGTTTTATTTTCTTTCCCTTTCCCCACATTACATTCTGAGAAGAAAATGGAATGGGAAAAGCCAAGTGGCATGAAGGCTTCATGTTGGCTTTGGTTAGTTGGAGATGGGGAGATGGCGAAGATGAAGGATAAGCCATCTAATAAGGCAAAAGTTAGGAAGAGTGGAGCTGTGGTGCATTGCCTTTGAAAGTGGATCTGGCTAGTTACTACATAGAACATGTTCCTCTCCAGCCCTTTTCCCCAGCCAGGTGTGTGAATTGGGGTTAAGAACAAGTAGATCATCCAGGTGCTGGTGGCTCATACCTGTAATCCTAGCTACTCAGGAGGCTGAGATGTGAAGATTGTGGTTTCAAGCTAGCCCAGGCAGGGAAGCCCATGAGACCCTTATCTCCAATTAGCCACCAGAGAACCACAAGTGGCACTGTGGCACAAAGTGGTAGAGTACTAGCCTTGAGTGAAAAAGCTCAGGGACAATACCCAAACCCTGAGTTCAAGCCTCACAACCAACCAAAAAATAAATAAAAGAAAAAACATACATTTTCAAATACCTACTGTGGGCCGGTTGCTTCCTAAATATATCATCTTATTTTGCCTTTTTTTTCCCATATCTCCAGTGTAGAAAGAACAAGATGGATTCAGAGAAGTGATTTGCTCTCAGTCACACGGCTAATAAATGTCAGATATGGGTGATAACACACATATCTGACATTTATTAGCCTGAGTCCCTCTCTAGGGAACGTTTAGTTCCCAAGGTTAGAGTTGGTTCTAACCCTCAGCCAGACTTCTCCATCTGCACCCCAGTACACCCCAATTGAACTTCCTATCCCATCCCCAGGCTGTTCTTCCTCTCTGGGTGACCCCAGCCTCCCTCGATAATTCAAGCCTTAAGTCCAGGTGTTAGCATCAACTCCTCTCTTCTCACGTGCCCTCTTTCCAGATTCCTGCAGCTAAAATCTCCAGACAGGCTTATGTCAGGAACATGCTTATATCATCCCTCCCGCTGCCCCTGTCCTTGCCCAGGCTTCATCATTTCTTCCGGAACCAGTTGGTCTTCCTGACTCCAGTCTGTCCTCTCTCCGATCTATCATCTCTTTCTCTGCTGCCAGAGAGCTCTTTCTCAAGCACAAATCTGATTATGTACATCTCTGCTCTAAAATCTTGGCTGTAGCTTCGTGGCCGAAAGATAAATCCAAAGCCGTAATGAGGCTTCCAAGTCCATTCATGGTCTGACCCTCGCTTCTCCACCTCAGCTCATTTCCCAGCATGCTTCCTGACCCGTCCACACCACATTTCTCCCCATCTTCTGAGCAGCCCAAGTTCTTTCAGTCAGTGTCCTTTGTTTTGTAAACTTCAGCCTCCCAGCCAAGAATTCCAACCCGGACTGCTGCTTGGAGAACCTGGACTCCTCTTTGAAGAGAAGCTCAAGACAAACATTTGTCTCATACATAGATCCTTCCAGTCTCCCCAGTTACTTTCCCATGGCTCAGACAAACTTATGATTTCTTCTTCTTTCTTCCCTTCTCCGTCTTCTTGTAGTACTTGGGTTTGAACTCAGGACCTTGAGCTTTGCTAGACATGTGCTCTACTACTTGAGTCACACCTCCAGATCACCCATCATGCTTCTTATACATTTCTATAATCTACCTGCCTCCCCCAATTAGACTGATATACATTTATGGGCCAATATTAGGGCTTCAACTCTGGGCCTTGCACTCTCATTCAGCTTTTTCATTCAAGGCTGGCATTCTACCACATGAGCTCCACTAACAGCTTTTTGCTGGATATTTGTATGAAAGGCCCTTGTCCCAAATTTATGCTTCTCTTCATCCAGGTTTGAGCCATGTAAAGATCATGTCACATAGCCCATCTCTGACATCCTAACTGAAGACACGGCATCTACTGGCATGCCCAACATTTACTTTCTCCTCCTTTCCTTCCTCCTGTCCCTCCCTCTCCCGCCTCCTGGTTCTTGGGCTTCAACTCAGTGCTTTTTACTCTCTGCTTCCTTAGCAGGCACTTTACCATTGAGCCACATTTCCAGTTCTGGCTTTTTACTGGTTTATTAGAGATGAAATCTCATAGACTTTTCTGACCAGTCTAGCTTTTGTTGTTG